ATCAGCTCATCTGAGAGCTGCTGTGTGAAACTCTTCAACCACAAACCAGCATCTCCTCTGTTCACTTGAACATGTTCAGTAGATTCATGAGCTGCTTCCATGATCTTCTGCTGCAGGAGTTCAATGTTCATCTTCATCTTGTGTAAAACACTGACACTGAACTTATCAGTGATGTACCGACTGACTTCATCTCTGATGAAACTCTTGAAGTGATCTCTGGGATTATCAATGTAGTTCATGTATTTGTCAAAATCCTCCTCTTCTGCCAGTGCCTTCAGGATGTGTTTCTCCAGATTTGATCTGTTTCCATTCAGTGATTCACAGTTTGATCTCATTTCATCTGTCAGATCTCTGGCAGTCTTCTTGTACACACTCTGCTCAAAGGGCTCTTTCAGTTTTTGACAGATGATCTCACCAAAAATGGCAACTGATGTTGCTCCATGACAGTATTTCTGGAAAATACTATAGTACTCTTCTCTCTTCTCAACATATATTGCTTCCTTGAAATGTATGTGTTGGTCGTTGTTCATCTTGTTTGATTTCTTACAGATGGAAAGAACCAAATCAATAAAGAATTCATTCTTGAACTCATATTTCACTGGTCCTTCCTGGTGTTCTGTTACTCTCTTCTTGATATAATCTATGAGTTTTTGAGTGCAGCTGATGTTGTATCCCATCTTTGAAATGTTAAATGACTGAATCATTGTGTCTGTATGCTGGTCAACATCTGTGACTAATGATCTAATTTGAGCTTCATTCTCTGGAGACAGAGTTCGAATATGTCCAAATGTTTCTTTCATTGTTCTGTAAACATCCTTTAGAGCCTCTTTAACCCCCTTTTTTTTGGACTTTTTGAAAATAACATAATCAAAAAAACTCCAGACAGTGAAAATATTGATGAACTCACTGTCCTTTTTAAAGTGGTCAGCAGGGAGACGCCCCTCATAGATGTCACTGAGGATTTTTATCACATCCCTCATTATGTCAATGTCATTGTTTGGAGGCGTGTCTGAGATAATCTTATCTGCACTCTGCTCCCAAAACAAATCAAACTCTTTCTTCAGTGTTTCTTCATCATTTGCTTTGTCTTTGAGTTTTAAGGGAAGTTCTTTGCTCTTTTCATAGAGAGTGTTTTCATGAGCTGTTCTCTTAGCTTCAATCTTTTTCTTCTGGTCTCGCTGCTCAAGAATCCCATTTAATTTCCTTTTTGTTTCTCTCACAATGTTTTCCCGAAGCTCTTTGATTTTGATTTCAAATGATGTTTTCCACTGAATCAGTATATCTTTATCTTTGTCTTTCTCAAAGAATTCAGACATTGACTTTTCTACTTCTTCACTTGTCTTCTTCAGCTCTCTTTGAAGTTCAGTTTCGTCAACTTCATGAACTGCTTCATTTTTTATTTTGTTGTGTAGTTTGTTCTCTGTTTCCATCATGGCACTGCGAAGACTCCAGGACCACTTACTGTATTC